TAATATCTATATTGCATATATTCTTCACTATCTTATATCCCAAACAATCCTCATGATATACACTACTACGGTACACCAAGAAAGCATGAATGTCTGAGTCACCACTTTTTATGAAATCTCATTTTGATTTTCCTGTTTAAAAGAACACAATGATTTTTCTCCACCTTTGCAAAGAAGCAGCATAGCCACAGACACTCTTGGTTATGTAATATACATGAAACATAAATTAACAAGTCAGTGTGACGTGTTCTAGTGAGTATGGTTAAGCTACGGGTAGATGAACTATTTAGAGCTGATTTTCTGTCTAGTGTAATTATGAATCTAAAACATTCATGTGAAGGAGGCTCTAGAAGAATCAGAACAGAGTACCTTCATGAGATGACACAGGAAAATTATGGAATGATACGTATGAAATTATCATAAACTGAATAATTTATACGCAAGAAAACTAGCCATCAACAGCACATTTCATAAAATATGATTACAGTAGACTTTACAATAACCCTTTTCCTATCAACATCCAAATATGTAGAACCCTTATGAACTCATTTGTTTTTCTTTTCCAGATTGCCAATACATAGTCAAGTTCTTTGACATGCCATGAAGATCTAGACTGTTTGTTTAATGATAATTTCCACTCAAATACAGCAAACTGGTTGATCATGATTCTTGTATGATGACGATTCCAGGTAGTATGCTAATACAAAATAAACTAAGAGTTTTACTGGGTATAGTGAAGAGTCTTCTCATTACAGAACATAAAATGACCAACATTTGACAGATGTTTTTGACAGGTGTCAGTTAGGAAATTAAAAACCATGTTTTGTTAGGTATGCTTGTAAGGGAAGAGATCCTTTGTGTATGCTGCAAAAAGGAAATATGTAAACAACAACATGAGCGGCAATGAATATTGAGATAAGAGTATGATAAAGCAAGGAAAACAGGAAACCAGAAGCATGCAAAATATAAGCTTATATGCAATAACTCCACTTCCTACAGCAATACATAAACGATATTCAACAGACAGGTTGAAAATATTATTCTCAGACTAAAATAAAAATAAATAAAAATTGGCATTCTATTTTCCATACNCTCACATAGCCTGGATTGACGTAAATCCCCGAAGCTTCAAAAAATCCGATAACTAGTAATTCACCAGTAATCTCCACAAGAACAACTTCCATCTTTGAAACGATGAAACCTACTCCCATCCCTGAAAACAATCTCTCTTTTATAAACCACGGAGATCAACTTGATCACACGATGGCAGTCATCGCAAATTCTATGACTCTGGACAAACTGTAAGGGAGCAAAAGCAGGCGTATTAATAAGTCCGTACGATATAGCTAATTTTTCGCTATGATGAGACATCAAAGCTTGTTCCCGTTCATCAACATCAGGAAGAAAACTCTTCCCCTGAGGAACAACATATCCATGCCTCAAAATTTCCTTCATCACCTCATCCAAATTATCATATATCTCCTTGCTCTCGGGACTCGACCTATCCCCAGTAAAGAACGCATAATGCCGTTCCTTAATATCTATCCAAGTACACACAGGAAGCATCGTAAGACCTTTTCTCCTCAACGTTCTCATGACAGCAGCAGCTTCCTCCATCTTCCCCGAAGCATAATAAATATTCAAAAGCACCACATAGCTCGACAGTTTATCGGGCTCCAATCTGTACAGCCTCTCAGCAGCATACTTCCCGAGCACCAGGTTCTTGTGGACCCTACAGGCCGTGAGCAGCGCAGCCCACATGTTCACAGTGGGCCTGAATGGTGCATCCCTTATCAACGCAAAGGCCTCATCTAGCAGGCCTTCCCGGCCCAGAAGCTCCACCATGCATGCATAGTGCATGGCCCGTGGCTTCACTCCGTGGGCCCGGCCCATCGACTTAAATATCTCCCACCCACGGCCCGTCAGGCCCGAACTGCAGCAGGCGAACAGTACAGCAAGGAACGTGACGTGATTGGGCTTCATTCCCTGACGAGTCATGCAGTCGAAAAGCTCGACTGCCTCTTGTCCTCGACCGTTGTTTCTGTATCCGGCTATCAAGGCATTCCATGACATGACGTTTTTGTGGGGCATTCTATCGAACAAGTTGCGTGCGTCTTCCAGTCTGCCCCATTTGCTATAGAAGTCGATGAGGGCAGTGCTGGCGACCGTGTCTGAACCGAACCCATTTCGCACAAGGCCTGCGTGGGCCTGCTTCGCGTGGTCCACCGAGGCTAGCCTGCAGCAGACGCGCACGATTATCGAGTATGTGAAGTGGTCCATTTTAGCCCCTGATTTTCGCATCTGATTGGATATGGCGAGAGCTTCCTCACTGTAGCCGTGAAGGGCGTGGCCCGCGATTATGCTGTTCCAGGCAACTGTCGTTTTCTCTGGCATGGAGTAGAAAACAGACTTGGCGTCCTCAATGTTGCCACACTTGCTGTACATATCGATCAAGGCGCACAAAATGAACACGTCAGTAGCGAAACCCATTTTTATGGTGCAAGCGTGAAGTTGCTGGCCGGAGGATATGAGTTCCAGGCCAGTCGAGGCTCTGATCATGATGGTAAACGTGCGGGACCCAGCAGTCTCCAGCTCATCCTCCTCCGACCACATCCTGAGGAACAATCTGAAGGCGTTTATGAAGTCTCCAGAGTCGACAAGGCCGCCGATTATCATGTTCCAGGAGACAGTGTTTCTCTCGGGCATATCTTCGAACAGTAGGCGGGCCTTCATCGTCATCCCGCACCTCAGGTGCATCAACAAAACCCGGTTCATCATGTATAAATCGAGCTTGGCCTTGGAATTCAGCATGTGGGTGAACACTCGCTTGACGCCGGTGATCGATCTCAGTACTACACAGGCGCCGATCAATGAGTCGTAAGTACTGGCCTTGACAGCATGATGATAACCACTCTCGCATTCCAGAATCTCGAATAGCTCCAGAGCCTCGGCGTACCTCTTGCAAAGAACCAATTTTTCTATCTGTCCGCAGATTCCGGAACTCGAATTTGGATCATCGGGATGATTTTCTTCCCAATTGTTGAATTTTTTTAACGGTTTGGGAGGCATCGGTCGGGGCCTTAATCCCTGGTCCAACACAGAGCACCTGAACTGAGAGAATTTCCTTCTCGGTGAGAAGATATCGCCATTGAAGGGGAGTTTCTGTTTGAAATTGGTGGGATTTATCAACGAGCAAGCGAATCTGTAGCCGCTCTGGATTTGATCCAGGGGCAACGAGACGTCCATGGGCGATGGAGAAATTCAAAGACGTATGGCCCAACAAGCGTTAGATAGAGCAAATCAACAATGGAGGCTTTTGAGGGAGATGAAATGTGGGATCTTTTTACATCTACAGAGCTAAGTGAGCTACAGCTTCGAAATGTCCGCCAGTGTTGCGTTAGTTCGGTATTTTGGTTCAACAACCGCCTTGTAAAGGACGAAAATGCGAAAATGCAACCATATAAATTATTTATTATATTATATACTTATTTATTACATTAATTACGGAAGATTAGTATTCATATTTTTATTAATATTCGTATTTTCATTATTAGTAATACTAGTATTAGACCCATGCAAATAAAATATTATGAGTTATTTGTATGCATATAATATTAAAATTATAAGTTAGACAATAGTATTATATTTTAAACTTATATGCATATACAGTGACGGATCCATGAATTTTACTCAGGGGGTCCGATTTTAAATGTTAAATAACGAGCTTGTAGTTTAAGTCAAAACGCTCATTTTATATAAAATATATTTACTATTAATATAAATATCGATATTTGTATCGTCAAGTTTT